TTTTTTGAAACAATTGCGCTGCGCTATTTTAGAGATCAATTATAGAAGCGCGTGAGCGCCGCGTCGCAGTCTAACATAAATAAACATTCGTACGGAACCCATAGAAATGTAAACAAAATTTGTACTTATTACAACAATGTCTATAAAATATCTGATAATGTGCATAAATGTGATCATTCTTTTCCGCCAAATAAATATTATTTTTACTCTTTTTATTGGATTTCCGAAACCGTTGGACCTGCCTTCCCAAAATTTAATCAGTCTTCATTTCGCCAGTACAAATGTGATGTTTATTGAATCCTTCAAATCAGACGCTCCATTACCTCAAAATCTAAATTACCATTTTTAGCACTATTTTTGTCCACGATTTCGGGCGCACAGATCAACCAATTTGAATGAATTAAAAAAACATCCGATTCCTATTGATAAGGAGATGTGCTGATTAGTTCTTGGCAAAGGCAGGTTCATATGGAGCAAAAAGTGCTAAAAATAACAGTTTTTAAAAGAACGGTTCAACCAATTTGAATGATCCAAAAAATGTTCGATTCATAATGATGGGTAGAAGTGGTAATTAGATTTTGACAAAGACAGGTTCAGCCGTTTTGGAGATACAGAGCTAATTGTGCAAAAATGGGGTTTTGAGAGAACTAAACATCCGATTTGAATGATTTGAAAAACTTTCTGCTTATGTTGACAAAACGATTGCTTTTGAAGAAAAAAAATTTTTTATTATTTTCTTTTTTTAATTTTTAAAAAAAATTTTTTTTTTAATATAAAAATATAATTCGAATTTTAATTCTAAAGTTCTAAACATCACTTATATAATCTATTGAAACATATATCATTGAAGTGATGTTTAGAACTTTAGAATTAAAATTCGAATTATATTTTTATATTAAAAAAAAAAATTTTTTTGAAAATTAAAAAAAGAAAATAATAAAAATTTTTTTTTTCAAAAGCAATTTGCCTTAAGGCACGATGCCATACACCACTAGTTCATTTTTATACTATAAAGATATTTTTTTTATGACGTTTTATATTCAATGATTTTTCAACATATTTTTTTATATATTTCTATTAATATTGTTATCAATATATTGTTCTTCAGGATTACACAAGTAATTTACAAAATCCAAATATTTAATGTGATATATTAACAGTTAAGAAGTTATGGTCATATGTTTGGCCTTTGAAATAGTATTAGCAAGTCTTAGGCACTTACAACATTTTTTAGTTTTATACCATTTACTTCATATTAACTTTGTATATATTTTTATCAACATTCAATTACAATTTTCAAGTATATCACTTTTCGTATATCATAATTTTTTAGGACGAAATACATAATCATAAACAACATAATATTATATATATATATATATATATATATATATATATATATATATATATATATGTGTGTGTGTGTGTATGTATTATAATTTATATTCAAAGGTATATTATGTTTATTAAAACAAAAGATAATAGATTAAAAATTATATTACCTAAATAATAATAGTAAAGCATCAAATACTATTTTCAAATATGTTGTCACAGTTTTTCCGACGTAGAATTTAATTGACTTTTTCCACCCAACTTTATACTTAAGGCATAATCAATATATGATTCGTTATAATAAGACTCGTGTGTGGAAAACTTCAACTCATTCTAATAATAAGCAGTAGATTTGATACGATTGATTACTTGGTTGATACTATTTCAAGAAAAAATAATAGTGCGTTCAAATCCGAATGTGTTAACTGATTTATACGAAAAAAATATGCCTAGACAGCACGCTAGTACCAAAACTGCTTTGAAAATATGTACGGGTGATGAGAGTTTGAATTTATCAATTTCAGCTGTTTATGGCCGCTCGAGTTTTTATCAACCCAACTTTTATTAATGAGTTAACAGAAAACACTTTTTGGGAGTTGATACGAGTCACCATTTTTTAACGCTTAGTATATTGGTTTATTAACTTCCCGAAGGAGAAGTTTATGTTTTCATCCAAAAATTCGATTTGCTAGTTTTCTCGACGTTCAAGCCACTCTGAATCGAATGAGATAGAATTTAAAAAAAGTTTGTGTGTAAAAAGCAATTCAATGTATCTCGATGAGGACTAGCGTTTCTCAGTTTCGTACGACGATCGGCCGAGCCGTTTCTTTGTAAGTCGCAGGAAATTGAAAAATTTTTCGTCCACGTTTTTCAAAAACCGTTCGAAAGATATTGGTTGGGAATCGACCTGATTAGTTTTTGGTAAAGATCGGCCGGGCCGACTTTGGAAAAAAAGTTTAGACGATTTTTATGATTTTTTAAGATCATACTAAAATATTACGGCCCTACGACAAAAACGCCTGAACAGATTTCAGAAATTTATAAGCCATTTGATGTACCTCAATGAGGACTATCATTTGTCAGTTTTGTGCGACGATCTGCCGAGACGTTTCTTTGTAATTTGAAAAAAGTGTTAAACTTTTCGTCCACATTTAAGCTCATACTACCGAATCGATTTTAAAAAATCAAAAACTGTTCGAAATATATTAGTTGGAAATGGATACTGATTAGTTTAGGTGAAAATCTACCGAGCCGTTTTCTTGTTTTTTGGCGATATATATCATGGTCTTATAGAACTTACTGAAATATTACGGCCTTACGATAAGTAGTTTGATTTTAAAAATTCATCAAAGTTTGAGAGAATGAGTAGCCTTTTTTGACGATTTACTTGGTATAACGATAGAGTACTTGGTCTTAATGAACATACAAAACAATTAAAGTCCTACGGAAACTGGTTCAGTTATAAAATATATCGATTTTTGAAAATTTGCTTTTAGAAAATACTCCGAGTTAACGTGTTGGTTCTTTATCAATTATGTGATACAAATCCACTCGGAATACTTTCAATCATTCATAAATAATTTTTATTTTGGCCCACATGGCGTGGGCCATCGGTGACCCGTACAAGGCTGTTCTACCAGGCGACTCAGGTCACCGGTGATCCGCCTTTCAAACGCGACGCCTCACAGCAACACATACCAAAATCGACCCCGGTGTGAGCTGATAATAATAGTATTTTAACTCATTGATTTAATTCAACATTTAGACTTTTAACCCTTATTACTAACCCGCAATGGCTTTAAAATATTAAGTAAATAAAAATATTTATATGTACAAACATAACTAAAGTAACATTTATATATACATGTTATTTTATTTACATTTATCAAAAGTCGTATTTAGTATATACTGATAATTTGCAATTTATTGCAATAAAAATTTACTTCATTTTAAATACATAATTCTTGAGGCGGACTTATTATAATTTCCATTAACATCAACCGAAACTTGATGCACCCACTAATATTATTATAGGAATGCTATATTAAATGCATATATATTACATAATCATATAGAAATTCTATAATTGACGTTTACAGTTCGCACACAAAACTTACCTAAAAATTTCTTGGGCACATTGTAATAATAATTATTAAACTATATAAATTATTGCAAAAGTTTTTACACATACAAATTAATATGCCATAACAAAATAGTTTTAAAGTCAGACATATCAAAAACCAAAACTATTTACAATGATACTATTTATTTAAACATCTTGACACATGTACATAACAATAGTTTACACCTTTAGCACATTTATAGTTCTCAAATATATCAACATAAATATTTTCATCAATTTTATAATACTAATTTCGTATTTCATTTTATCTAACATTTCTATTAAACAACAAAACACTAACTATTGTTTCAGATAATTTAAAGACTACCCAAATTTTGCTTTTCTATGTTTAATTTTTATATTCTTTGGATTCCATATCAATATGAAGTCAATTTACTAACACACCGCGTTCGCAAAATTTAATCTGATTTTGATTAATGAAAATTATCAAGCTACATCAACACTATCAAAGTAGAATCTATGGCTTTTATGACTTAGTTGTGATTTTTCTAAACACTCAATAGTATAAAGATAAACTGCTCACAGCAACAAATAAAACTACTGTGGCCGTAGAGACTTATTTTCCCAAAAAATAATTAAGCTTTATATTTTTCTTACTAAAATATTGTTTAATGAATAATTATCATTATTTGTCTTGTCCCATTTTATTTTATCCATCTTGGAAGGCAATACATTGAGTATCATAGCAACATACCATAGATTCATCACTTATAATTAGTCAACAATAATAAACTTTCCAAACTATTGTTATTTTATATTTATTTTGATACATATATTTTATTTTTCACAATTTTTTAAACTACTTGAGTGATTGCGATTAGTATAGATATTCTTAATAGTTTTGTATTTGAACATTACATATATTAAATTCTTTGTCAATAACTTATTAAATATTTTTACTGTATAATATCATTTTCAGTTGGTCTTGTGAAATAGATTCTTTAATTCAAACTTGCAATTATTAAATTTTATCACAATTGTATCTATATTTAAACAAATTTTCACTTTTTCGTTTCATAACAACTATAATTTGAAAGTGATTTTTTTTTTCTTTTTACTGTGAATGCAAACGATACTTACATAAAAAAACAAACTTGTGAAATAAAATGGAATGATTAACTGAAAAACTAATTTGCCTTTGTTACCCTAAAATATTAAGCAAACAAATATAACTGCCAGTAGATTGATTCATAACAATTTAGTGCTACAATAATATAACCATGTCCATTTATCAAAAATCACAGAGATTGAACTATGATTATCTTCTTTTTTAATTGTAGTAATATTTTTTTAACATTAAACATTTTATTAAATTCAATATTTCAAACATAATAGACATAACACGAGAGTTGAGTATGGTAAAAGCATTTAAAAAAAAAATCAAGAATATTGAAGACTAAATTAGAACCTTTGTACATTTATACAACAAATTCAAAGACTTCATGCTAAAATGTAACAAATATGCATATATGTACAAGATGATAAAATTAAATTTAATAATTAAATAAAACATTAAAAAATAGTCAAATTTATACTGATATAAATATTTAAATTTTGAATTCAACCTTACGAGGAATTCTAAATAACATTTGGACAGATAACACAAACAACATCAGCCATTCTAAAAGCATTCTTCAACCTACACTAATCCTATAGAGACTCCATAAGCCTAAGTTATCGAACATTTTCACTCCAGGAAAAATTTGAGTTATTCGATACAAAATAAACACATTCAAATAGAAATCTTACATGTTTTCTCTTTTTATCTACTGCAAATTATCAGATACACTAAAAATTTGTCATCATGCAGCAACTATCATATGCAAGATTCCCATTCAATAATTAAAAAAATTACTATTTATATTTATCTAATGCTCCTACATTCCACATTCAAAGTAACTCTGAATTTAGCAGATACCTTAATTAACCATTACATATAAGAAAAATAGTTATTTGTTGGTAACTATATTATATGCAATTTTTTGAATAATTGTACTGAGGTGCATTAGATTTATTTTTATTCTTAATATCTAGGCACTGCTAGCGTGCAAAGTAAATATTGAATTGATTTGATAATTTTAAATAATTGCTTTGGTAAAGAGCAAATATTATATCATACATAACTGAAGTTTTTTTGCTTATAGAGACTCTGTCAAAATTCGTTATCTAACCGTGAGTTGTATTAATCTTGCTTTTTATCCAGCCAATATTTCTGAACCATACTATAAGCTAAACCTAATGTAAGACAAGATACAACAGTGCCTTGAGCAGCCACTCGAAGCTGCATAAGAAATATGCTAGTGCTCATTTGGCCTTTAGTTCTGTATTTGTAAGCACCAACAGCACATATCCCAATTAATCCAAAAAGACCTGAAACAAGCAATTACAAAATCAATGAATAATAAATGAAAATTTGAAAAATTCAGACAATAGAAACAATTCTAGATTATATATCAATTCCAACAACAATAATCTAGAAAAAGTCAGAATATTTCATAAAATGAATATTTTAATTGGAAAATGTGAGTATTGGTTTCTTCACAAAGTGAATACACATAAATTAACATCATAATAATATGTTAAGTAATAATAAATATAATAGAACCATAGAAGAACATACTATAACCTTAATTGTATAACAATTAAGGTTAACAATTAAAAAAACAAAAATTAAATTAAAAAAATATATTGAAAAATAAATAGGGACATTAAATATCATTGATTTAGAACATATGCATACAAGTAAGGTGACCATACTTCTCGGTTTGGCCGAGACATTCCCGGATTTGCACCTTATTATGTCCCGAGTTTTCTAAAATCTATATTTGTCCCAGATTTAGATCTTTTGTCCCGCATCATCCCGGATTTTCAAAAAGTATAAGTTTAATTTGTATTTTGGCAATTAATAATAAAATTGCAACAATCCATCAAATAATTAAAAATGATTTAAGCATCGATAAAATTGTCTAATGCAAAAATTCTGAAGACAAGTTAAAATAGCCTCTCACATCAATAATTTCAAATTTTATGAAAATTAGTAAAAACTACTTTTAAACAAAATGACTACCTGGCACAAGTGCTAATTTTTTCAAGGTAATTTTATGAGAAAAAATTGACAGAATTTAATAGAAGGTTTAAAAGTAAAAAAAAAGAACATAATAGATCCAAAAATATAAGATAATATTGCATATAATTGAACAATTGAGTTCTTACTAAAACTCAAAAAATTGATATATTTAACAACAACTAATTTTTATTGTATCCTTAAATGGTATTTGTTATTTTAAATTATATTAAAGTTATTTAGCATGAAACCAACAGACCCGTTGTTTAATTGCAAAATTCAATTGCCGTTTCAAGTTTGATTTAAAAAAATATTGTCACCTTGAAACAAGGCACATGAAATGATTACTTTGCTTCAAAAATTCATTATAAAATTTAATAAAGCTAACTCGATTACTCGAAAACAATTATATCAATGTTCTATGATACATCTGGTAACAAATACTTTGGAAAACATATTTATATAATACTAATATTAAGGGGCACACCTAGTGCGACAACCTAAAGAAAGGTCATTCATGGGAATTTTTTTAAAAAAAAACTAGCGAATCCATTTACTTAAAATTTTAAGGGTATAATATTTATACATGTTTTAAGAATACATAGTAAATTCATTGAAATAAAATATTGAATATTTTTGAAATCAAACGCAATCTCCGGCGAGGCCAAAAAAAAGGTGCTCCACTGCTGGGATAATTGCAGCCTTCTCCGTTGATACAACATAAAAAAAAAATTCTTGTTAAACTAAAACATATTGTCTGTACGATGACCCTCGGGTGAACAAAAAAATGAAAAATTGACAAAATGGCGGCATGTTGGAAAAAAAAGTTAAATTTTGGTCATAAAATTCGATTTTTTAACAGAGCAAAAAACTGAAGGGTCATGGTATGAAGAACTACATAGAAGAGATGCAGAAAAAATTCGTTAGCGATCGAATTATTTGTCTCCGAGTAATCACTGCAGCAAATTAAAAAAATGCTATCTTGAGAAAAACGCGTTTAAAGATAAAATGATCATTATACTGTATACTCTATACATATATATATACTCTTTTAAATGTCTGTAACTCAAAAACTATTTAAGATATCGATTTAAAATTTTAGTATGTTATTTTTAAAGGTATAACCTATCGAAATATGAAAAAATTCAAAATTCGATTTATTGAAAATTTCACACTAGGTGCGCCCCTTAGAAAGCACTATGCTTATAAGGTTATTCTGACAAAGTAAAAATAACCTATTTTTAAAAGTGATTAAAATATAATTTTTGTACGAACCTGCTACCATGAATGGAGACTCCTTTGCTTTACGTGACAATTTACTGCCATCAGGTTCCTCATACACAAGTTGGTTGCTTGTCATCCTAAATTATACAAGAATTCATGTATTACATCATTCATACATAATATAGTATAATGTTAATATCTTCAAACAAAAATCAATATAATAAAAAGTCAATATATTCTTTTAAAAAAAGTTATACATTATAAAATGATATCAAATTGAAATTAATTTTATTCTGAAATACTTTAATATATCTATTAAGGTTCAATGTCAAAATCTGAAGCATGCGGTTAAAAAATTATCAATGTAATTTAAATTGATTCTAATAGCATACTCACTTGTTAAATATTCCTTTCCCCTGAGCACCAAATAACACTTGAATTGACTATTTAAGTTTCAAATAATATTAATAATAATATTCTTTAAATAATATCTGTTCCACGCGAATTGTGCAGTTTTTGACATAAGCGAGGAACGGGAGCAAAGAGTGCTGATTTCGCGAATTTTGGATGCGTGCCATTCGCCGCATGACATTGAATATCTGCCGTCATCTTCATTAACGTTCGTCTCTCAAGGTCACTAAATGGAAAACTTTGGAAATTACTCGCATCACACATGCCGTGATTATCTCACGATTTAAACACTTTGCGACACGAGCTAATAAATAAATTCAATCACATATATCTTATGCAATACATTAATAATAATATATTAATTTTGCCCTATTGGTAAATGGCAAAATATTTCACCCATATTTATACTCTTCTTTTTATTATGATTTCATCTTTTTAAAGTTAACATAAATTAAAAAACTTATTATTATATTAGAGATATATTTTTCCTTATCTATTTAATACTTTATAAAATAAAATTTGTGCAAAAAAGTCGAGAGTTAAACCGCCCTCTAAAAGAAATAGACAAAATAAGTATAAATAAGTCGCAATTTTAATAATTTTAATTGTTTCCGCAATCCATAGAGGCGCCACTAATTGTAGCACATGCCATAGTTACGTACTCGTACGTAATCTTACTTAATGTAATTACTCTTAAATTCAATTCTAGATAAGATTTATATAAATACTAGGGTGGCGACGAATACCGAATATTCGGCATGCTCCGGATATCGAATACCGAATATTCGGCAACTATTCAGCAGGTTTTTAGCTCCTAAACTCGTTGGTATTCATGTAATTACTATTTACAGTTGTTAAATTACTAACGCTCTAGATATTTATTCACATTTCATGCATAGACTTGCAACCACTATTCGGTTACTCTTTATTATTCAGTACATTTGGTACAAATTATACTATTCGGCCGAATACCGAATACTTGGATCATACTTGAATACTATAAGTGAAGGGAAATAAATCATACGTATATTTAAATTTTTTCAAACGGATTTTTTACATACGTATATGTAAATGTATTTTCAATTATTTCTTTATTAAACTTTTAATATTTTTTTATAAATTTAATATTATTTCTTATATATTAGGAATGCTAATCATAATAAAATAAATAAAAAATGATCAAAAATATTGTTTGTATATTTTGCGATGAAGAACCGATAACAGCTTTTTCATTTGGAAATGCTTAGATTGACTTTATTGTATTGATGATACAATTCATGTGTATAACCATTGAATGATTGCCGAATATACCGAATACCGAATAGTAACCGAATATTCTGTGTAAGCCTAATAAATACGTAATATAGAAAAAATAAATCTGATTAATTCGAATAAATGTAAGAAGAACAAAATATACGCGTACAAAGTATATTTTTAACTAAATCACAGCAATGTTTTCACAACATATAATAAAAGAAATATTAAACGTAAGTACGTGCATTATAAAAAGAGATATCAATATTTTAGGAAGAGTGATGCATTTGGGCACATAGACTCTCTGTTGAGTGCGAGAAACATTAAAACGGGATAAAGCTCATTTGTTCTTTATTTACCTCCCATGACCACCACATACATTTTTTAAATTTTGTATCACACTTTTGGAACGACCGACGTTACTCTAAAAGTTATTTATCAAGATTAATTGTATTCAATAGTCAGTGGATATTACAGCCTTTTTCTTAACTTAGTATCAATATAAAGCACTAACACATTTCTAAAACAAAATAATACAACTAAAGGTAAAACTACAAAATTTAAATTGTTTAAGGAAAGTAATTCGAAAGCCAACTAACCAGCTCCATAGACCATTCAAGTATTTATAATAGAATTTAGTGTAAATGCTACAATTGATTTTAGTAAACTGAAAAAAGCAGAATTTTTAGGTTTTTACACAGTTTATGCCGTTGTCTTAAAATTCGAACATTGTACTACTCCACACACATTTATTAGAACACCGATGAAAACCCCAATATCTTAACTTTCCATCTGAAAGATTACCTTGAAGTGCTTGAAGATTACCTTGAAGATTGTATTTCTCTACATTTTATTAGAAGAACACTGATGAAATTACTTCGTGCAATATTTTTTATTTATAACTTCGCATCTGAATAAAGTGCTTGAATATCACCCTATATTGTCTTACTTCTTACTAGCTTCATTAGTGAATTACTTGTTCAGCCCTATAGCCTATCACATTTTATTTTGTAAATGAAAAAATAAAATAAAATAAAAAACTGTAATTTATATTTACACATATATTATTAAAACTATTCTAAAATTTAAATGTACAGTTTAAAATTTTATTTGAACACAATCACAATCAATGTAATACCACCATAATATAATTTGTAGTAAATATCGGTTGCTACAAGAAAAATCACAAGTCCATATATGCGCATATAATATATATAATTACTAGTTAAACATTTATTAGTCAATATATTAAGTAGTATATTTCATAGGAAATACCATGTTTAAAAGAAATTTGCTCAATTATTTTGAGGTTCCATATTTTCATTTGGTTTATTTGATGATTCTGGAACATTTAAATCATTGCTTCGAGAATTTTCGTCACTATTTGTTTTTCCTTGATTGTTCTTTGAAGGTTCATCCTCTGGCAATTGTTCATTCCTATATGGTGCATCAATTGTTTCATAATTATCCAAATTGTCACATGCAGAGTATTGTATAACACTATTACTACCATGGCAGTGCATTAAGTGACAATCGCATTGCCTTGAAAACATTAAATTCAGATCCATAATATTGTACTGATTATGTGAATTTGAATTTGCTACCCATAAGGGCAACCACTTATTTAATAAAACCCAATTATTTGAAGAATTTGAGATATCATTCACATAATCATTGTTAAAAAGCAAATCACTGTTCTGATTATTTGCAACATATTGAGATTCCTTTTCAGATTTTCGTTTCGGTTTTTTTAATAAAGTTAATGTTTTAATTTTTGGTATTGTACCAGTTGTGCTTTTTCGACTAGCACTGGCTTGAGAACTTCCACTTGGTGGTGATATGTCTCGGTTGGTAACTACATCATCACAGTTTTTATTTTTCTTTGACAGATTTTGAGAAGTTTGTGGTTGTATATTTGCATACAATCGCTCACCTGATGCTTCATGAGTATGTTTAGATCCCGTACTACTATTCGCTGAACTGTAATGATCAATATTGCCACATGAAGAACTTAAGTGGCGTTCTATTCTTCCAAACCCATGACCAATTATATCCAACCTACCATAAACTGTCGTACGAGGACACAACTTGCGTAAAGGGTCATAAAGGTTCTCATACTTTTCATCCAGATTAAGTATTTTTGTATTTGCATATTCCACTTCATCCGTTTTTTTCTTAATTGCAGGATGTTGTGCATGAAAAGGTAATGTGTTATTTGAAGGATAATTTTGGGCCATTCTATCATTCAACAGCATATGTTTGTAAGAGCGGGGCACATCATAATTACTATTACTAGGTCCAGGGTAGTTATATTTATCAGTCATGTTATTGGTGCTAGTGGTATTATTATATTGACCTTCAGCGGTCGTGTTGCTATTTTGCAGGTTGACATCAATGCTCTCATAAATATTTTCATAATGCACGCCACTTGATTTCTCCATACATGTAGTGTATCCAGTTGCACCTTCCGGATGACTACTTTCTCCCATATTGGCATACCTCAAATTAGAAAAATATGTATATATTTTATTTGTGTAGTAATTACTCACATGAAGATATTTAGGATTATTTTGATGTTTGAAATTTTAACTATACGTTAATAGTGATTGTTATATATGTTGAGTTTTGCGTTTTTTACTTTTTGTACATTTACTAAATATTATTCATTTTTATAACAATGGGACCAAAGAAAAGGGCTATGTCTTTTGAATTCAAGCATGAATTTAATAAAAATATAAAGCATAACATGTAGTGTGTTTAAACAAAAGGAGTTGATACAATAATTTATAAGCTGCTTTCTGAGCTCTTCACACAATATATTAGTTAGTTACTTACTTAGCAACCTGCAGTCCAGCAACACTGGCTATATCTCACATGGGCTTATCTATTATTGCAACGCCAGCGTAACTGCGTCCAATACCCATGGATGATGAGAGCATTGTCCATGAATCATTCTTTGGATTATAAACCTAGAATAAGAAACAGGCAATAAATTTCAAGCAATAATCTAAGATAAAAAATTCACGCTTGTTTATGCCAATTAAAGCATTTCAAACCTCAACAGACGACAGATTAGATGTTCCATCATCACCCCCAACAACATACAACAAGCCACCTAAAGCAACAACTCCAGCATTCCTGCGGCATAACGCCATATCAGCGACTGGTCTCCATGTATCTGATAAATAATCATATGCTTCTACACTTTTTCTCACACAAGGTCCATCATGTCCCCCCACGGCATACAGAATATTGTTCAATATGCCTACACCTAAAAATGCATGAACAATTCCATATTACATAAACGTTTTTGTTTATTTTGGCCTTATAAGCAAGTACATTAGCCATGCATCCAAATTAAACTATACAACAAAGAATTATTATCATAATCTTCCATACCTGCACCACTTCTTCTAGCAGACATTTCAAGAACTTGTGACCATGAATTTGTTTGAGGGTTATAGCACTCAACAGAGCTCAAGCATTGTCGAGAAGCCCCATCATATCCACCCACCTAATTTTATTATAAATAAATAAATAAATATATATATATATATATATATATATATATATTATTATTATCTTAAATCTCATTTCACTATTTATAGAACCTTATATAATTAATCATTAATTGAAATAAATAATGCATTACTTAAATATTACTGCAACATTTCATAAGACTTTTATATAAATATCAATATACCAAGCACAATTGTTTTAAAAATATGTCTAAAATTCAAGAATAAAATAAAATCAATAAAAACAAAAGTACTAAGAAGTATTTAAACATTCTCACAGCATATAATAAGCCATTGACAACACCAACTCCAACAGAACTTCTTCTTGAGGACATCGGGGCAATAAATTTCCATTTATTCAATGTTGGGTCAAACATTTCGGCAGAGCTCAAGCCAGTAGAGCCATCAAAACCACCAACCTGAAATAATTTTTGTAACCATGAAATGAGAATTATAATTAGAATTAAGGGATTAGTAACATAATAAATTGGTATAAATAATTAAAATACCTACCGCATAAATGCAGTTATTCAGAACAGCAACTCCTAAAGTAGATCTCCTAGCTTCCATACTAGGACAAGTTGCCCATTGATCTGTTGCAGCATCATAAACATCAACTGTTCTTACCCTAAGAGATCCATTGAACCCACCCACAGCATAAACTCGATCATCAAGCACTGCTAAGCCAGCTCTAAATATATTAAACATAAAAGGGTTGAAGTTTTATAGTAGATGTAACATAAATCTTATATCTTAATTTTTAATACATACCTGCACCTCCTAGTGGGCATCTCAGCAACTTGATACCAGCACTCTTCTCGTAAATCATAACATTCCACATTTCGAATTGCTTTTGGTGCCTGCCCTCCTACAACCAGTAAAACCTTGAAAATAAAGTGGAATGAAATTATGAAATAGAAATTATATCTTAAAAGTATTTTTATTATAAACAACTCAATAGTTGTTTTTCCAACATGTCAATATAGTATGCAATGTCCTTTTACGGCTGACAATTGTAAATTCCCTAAATTTACTAAATGTCCTTAACTGGACAGTTGTAAATAAAATAGAGAATAAAAAAAAAGTATTGTTATTAACCAGCCGATTTAATAATTGAAAATAATGCAGCATTTGCATTTATTCACCATACCTTTGGTAAACGAAGTGGCTGTCTAGGAATAGTTCTAGGGGTGTTAAATGTGGAAGTTCTCTGTTCACCTTTTAACAAATGATATTTTAAGGCTTCAATTAGCAAATCTTTGCATCGCAAATCTCCTTTTAGAAGTGGTTCATTTTCAACATGTTGTACTAAATAGTCTTGTGATAATAATGGTAAGCGTACACATTCCATTAGTTCTGCCAGCCAGTCTGTTCTTTGATCAGGATTGTATTGTATCCAGGCTACAACTGATTCAAAAACCTGCAAATATCATGAAACTAAAATGAATACCCAGCCTGTATTGAATTAAACTTATTTTATTTAATAGATTTGCTACAAATAGTATATGCCAAATTTTTTTTTTTTTAATTTAATTAGCAATATATATTTCCATATCTCAGTCAGACAGGGGTGTCTGGTATAAGAGATCATGGATTGGTAATTAAAAAACAATAGTGAATTAAATATGCTAATGTAATATAAGTGTATATTTTCTTGAAACATATTATTAATCTTAATATTAGCTTTTTGCAAAACATTACATAAATAACAAGAATTTACTTACTGTTTCTTCTGATTGAACTTGTAATCTATCACTCCTTATTAACTTAGCCAGTTGATCATGTTGTAGATTGTAAAATTCATCACATTTCACAATTTCACTAAATTAAAAAAAAATATTACCAGGTATAATAAGATAAGTAAAATATATACAAGAAATTGAATTAGAAAAAAAATTGCAATGCATAAACAGAACATTTGATTCTAGATTATAATGGTTACAATAATAATGATTATTCATCACTTACACAAAATGTTGTTCAATATAAGAGTTAGCATATGTCACGAGTTCAATACATCCATGCATATCAGCAAAATCCCGGATTCCAAGACAATTGCTTGGATCCAGTTGAGTTTGCAAATAGTCACAACATGCATCACGTACATCAGTTAGTTGAAGCAAATTTGCCGCTGTTAGCAAAACCTATAAATAATTTAAAAAAAACTATTAAAACACAATAAAAATGTTTATAAACTATAAAAAGTAATGTTAATTGTAAATGTAAAAAAATGGAAACAAAATATATTTCTGATATATTTTATTAACACACAGTTGAGAAATATTATATTTTTATACCTGTACATTATCTTCAGTCACGTCAACCACTGTGGTATAAACATACTCGATTAATAATTCTAATGCTACATGATCCACGCCTTGAAGTGTGACTCGTCCTTGATGACTTTCCTCAAAGCCACTGAACATGGCATAAAAGTAAGGACTGCAAGATGCCAATACAATTTTATGTGCGGGTATTTCCACACCGTCAGCAACCAATACAACATCGCAAAGCAAATTTTGTCTAAATGAATAGAAAAGGTTAATCATATAATATTTAAAGCAAGTCTTTATGATGATTTTACCTCCTCATGCTATTCATGCAATCAAATGCCCTGTTTGTATGAGAGTATTTTTTTCTATATGAGCCAGCAACTTTTTCCTTGTCACTAGGCCTTGAAATTTGCTTCTGCGAGCTTTCATCCAAAGAATTTTGACTTGCATAGCGTAGCATCAAGCAGCTAAAAGATAATACAATGTGATGATGCAATGTGAGAAAAATTATATTTTTATACCTGTACCTGTAAAGTTTCATAATTCAGAAATAAAATTATAATATATTATAAATTATTGAATATAAATATATATAATAAAAAAACAGAATTAATTCCTTGCGTTCTATTACACAACTTTTACAAAAATAATTAAATTTTGACATAGATAATTAATAAAATAATTAAAATAATATGATGAACAAAATTTGAATAAATATTAAGCTTTTAGATTAAATGAACCTTAGTTCAATTAACATGTCTCATTTCGGACAGCAAACGTCAATCAATATAGTTTAAATAAACTTAACGCATTTGAAATCAAAAATAGATAAAATAACGCGCAAAAACCAACGACAAGAAAAACAACAACGTAAGTAATGTTGAAACATTTGAATGATATGTCAAAATACAAAACTGCACAATTTATTTGAAAATCAAACAATATTCACCTTCCCCTGTCAACTGCAGCATCCCCCGAACCAGGATTCGCCGCCTGGTCCCTGTCCATTCTCATAAAACTAAATTTTTTCGTTTGTAAAATAACAATGTTTCGCAGTTAAAAGTGCTAGATAAATCACATATGTGAAATATCGTTATTGATTCACACTTGAACAAACATTAAAATACAAGTTGAAATATTTGTTTACAAATAAAACTTGTGGAAAATCACAATTGTATTTCAAATAAAAGGTTTATTAAAAAATATTAACAATGAATGGACAGACATTTGTTGTATGATTTGACAAAAAGCTTGATACTCTGCGAGAGTGAGAGCACAGTAGCACAACAAGACACAAGAACTAGATATGACACTCGATCTTGATAAGAGATTCTTAGCTTTCAAATATCCATTTGAATTTGAGCGGGACAGGACATAGGACAGATAACTAGTTGGTATTGGTATTTAGCCTTGAGACAAGTTACATGAACTTACCGATATGTGTAAATAATCGACTTAATCAATAAAATATAATTAATTTATAAGTGATTAAAAGTATTCTGAGTGGATTTATTACACATAATTGAACACGATTGATCACGTTAACCGAGTACATATTTTCAAATTTTCCAAAATCAACAATTTTTATAATTGAACCAGTTTTTGAAAAGCTTTAATGGTTTAGTATGTTTATTAAAACCAAGTATGTACTCTATACCAAGTAATTTTAACAAACGTCAAAAAACTACTCATTTTCTCAAACTTCGATGAATTTTTAAGATTAAACTACTTGTTGTAAGGTCGTAATATTTCAGTAAATTCTATAAGATCATGATATATATCGCCAAAAAAAGTTCCATAAAAATCGGCTTAAATTTTTTTCAACATTTAATTACAAGTAAGTAAACGGCTCCGTACATTTTCATGTAAAACTAACAGTATCATACCCAACTAATATCTTTCGAACAGTTTTTGATCTTTTAAAATCGATTCGGACGAAAAGTTTAACACTTTTTTCTAAATTACAAAGAAACAGCTTGGCAGATCATCGCACAAAACATCTGACAAACGATAGTCCTCATTGAGATACATCAAATGCCTTTTAAATTTCTAAAATCGGTTCAGGCGTTTTTGAGAAAACGTCGATGGAAGGTCTAATTTTGACAAATGCCAAAAAAAAGATACTAATTTTTGCAAACTTTGAAGATTTTTTAAAATTAAACGACTTGTCGTAGGGCCGTAATATTTTAGTATGATCTATAAGACTATTGTATCTACCGTCAAAAAAAATCATTAAAATCGCCGAAAAGAAATTTTTTAAAGGTGTGTCACCTAACGAACGAACACGAACGAACATAAAAGAACGTACCAGAACGAACGGCAACAGCATAGTGTGGACGCCACGACGATCACGAACGAACATAAACAAACATGGCGAGCAATGTTCAGGTGCGTCCACACCTAACGAACGAACATAAAGGAACGCACCAGAACGAACGCCAACAGCATAGTGTGGACGCCACGACGATCACGAACGAACATAAACAAACATGGCGAGCAATGTTCCGCAACTTGTCGGTACATCAAAGGGAATTGTTCATTCATGTTTGAACTCGTATGTGCAGTGTGGACGTCTCAACGAACGCAGACGAACATTTTTGTTTTAATAATTTTCATAATTTAATAATAATTTTTTAATAATTTAATAATAATTTTAATAATTTAATAATATTTACTTTTAATTATTGTGTACAGTTTGAAAATTTTAATAATATTTACTTTTAATTATTGTGTACAGTTTGAAAATTTTGAATAAATTATGAAATAGTCAAATGACGTAATTTTATCATTCATAAATGAAATAGAAAAGTTTCCTATAATATGGGAGACTAAAGACCCTTTTTATAAAATTATTAGAAAAAAAACGATGCTTGGGAAAGTGTAGGCAAAACGTTTGGGATGTCAGAAGCTGCAGTAAAGAAGAAATTGCAGTCTTTACAAGTAAATATTAAACTTGTTATCATACATAGACATTCAACATATATGTTGAGGACGAGAGTTTGAAAATTGAGTATAGTTAGCTCAAGTCTGGAATGTTCAGCTTGCTCCGAATATGAATGCTGAGGAAAGAAAACGACTCAAAATATAAATATTAAATACAAAAACTGAGTGAAATTAATTGAATAATTTATTTACAGTATATTTACAAAATATACACGAACAAAAATCACACAAAAACCAGTGAAAATGCCGTATGATTAAAGCTTACATCCATATCAATAATAAAACTGACGTTTCACGGAACATCTACGAACAAGGAAAATTCAAGCGCTCACTGCGCTTGTTCAAGTTCGTTTGGAATTTTTCGCGTTCGTTCGTGTTCCTGTTCGTTCTTCTTTGTATTTTCTTGTTCGACATGTTCGTTCGTGTTCGTTCGTTAGGTGTGGCGCACCTTAACACTTTATTACAAGAAAACGCCCCGGCCGATCTTTATCAAAAACTAGTCAGCACGATTCCCAACCAATACCTATCGAACGGGTTTTGAATTTGATTTTTGGAAATCGGTCCAGCCGTTTTCGAGAAAACGTCGATTTACGGCAAAAAATTCTGTTCACATACACACACACACATACTTTTTCCAAATTTGGTCTTATTCGATTCAGAATGGCTTGAACCGTCGAGAAAACATAAAATTAGCAAATCGGATTTTTTGATGAAAACAAACTTCTCCTTCGGGAAGTTAATAAACAAATATTTAAATGTGTTTTATTAACATTCAGTGTATTTTAAGGTTAAAGTTAATAAAATTAAGGTTTTATAAAATTAATTAATTATGTACATTTATAATACAGCAAGTACATTTTAATTTTTAACTTTATTAAATATCTTTCAACTGTTATTTCACAAACTAAATTAAAATGATTTGTAAACTTATGATGTGATGATGATGATATGTAAATAACGATTGTTAATATACTTATTAATACATAATATTTTATCAAACTATACAAAATACATGAATAATGACAATAACTTATCTTGGCAGGTTCTTCTAACACAGCTTTCAAATTTATTTCTAATATTAAATCTTTAGACTAATATTGAAAATATTTTTTTTACACATGATCTTTTATATTAATAAAGATTTATATAAAAATGAATTTTATTTTTTAGATTATGTTATAATATTATTAGAATAATCTAAATATATTATTTACTATAAGATTATTATAATTTCAATATATTTGATCAATAAAAATACCTTTTTTTAACATTTTTTTTAAACATAAATTATTTATATATATCCTCGACTGAAAAAAGTATTAATTTAATTATATGCGTCAACTTATGACATAATAAATTTTAATAAATTATTACACATATACTGCAATTTTTAATGAAATATTTTTTTTATTAAATTATATAAATGTACAAATTTATAAATACATTATATTTAGTATAAGAACAATTTTAACTCGCCCTCTATTAATAGTGGTATACAAAGATTAAATTATAACAAAAATTTAAATTATACATTCCTAACATACTTAAATGAGAAGTTATCACGTGTGCCACTATGCATTTAATTTGTTGAAGCAGGACTAATGGCACAAATCTTTGGCAAGTTATAAATTAACCTGATATTTAAATACTCGATTTAATAATCAGTCTTTATTTATTATAAACACGACACTATTTGTTTAATAATGCCTCTAAATTTCCATTATTCAACTGGTTTGTTTTAAGAGTCCTGTGTCGTTTCCTTGAATTACGTTTGTGTAAAGCGTACAAGACACATCCTAAAGTAAGAAGTACGGTAGCAATTGTTGAAGCGACTATGATCCAGATCATTTTGGCATTGTATTCCAGTTTTCGATGCAAAATCATCTCTTGACAAGTATCATATAGAACGTTTGTTTCGTTTAATTTTATATCTTCAGCACAGTATGTGTAACCTGGTAAAGATTTTATTGCAGATTTATCAGCCATTACTATAAAAAAATATAGGTTAGTATAATATAAAATATAATCTTACCTCTTGGTGGTGCTGTACATAGATCATCTGTACTATGTAGTACATTGGGCACGTGATTATTAAACCATTTTTCCAATAATAAACAGCTACAGTAATCGACGTTTATTTCAGTCATGTCCAAAGATTTTAAGGAACAACTGGGAGCTATATCAACAGGTAATAAGGATAATAGAGGATTTCCTGATATATTAAACTCTGTCAGATCAGGAAGAATTCCTAAATCCGGTAACAACTGCAAGCGGCAATACGCCAAGTTAATGCGCTGAAGTGGAGCTCTGATCGGTTTTTGAAGATCTTTCAGATCTTGCTGAAAAAAGAAATTGATATAAAGAAATTTATTTAAATTATTGAGGAATATTTTTGAAGTAAAACTTTTTTAGGCGCGACTTGGGTGTAAATCTGTACAAATGCAACGGAAGTCCGAAATGTTCGTCATTCGCTCTCGATGAGATCATTTCGATACGGGTCGATTGTGATTATCCGTCGTGTATGTGAATAGAGATCTGTCGTTGTATGCGCACCGGTATCAACGTTGTATGCGTACCGATATCAACAAGTAAATCGGCATCGATAAATAAACATTTTAAAGTTACATCGTAGTACAAATCTTGATTTAATGAAAAATGCCTGAATCAGAAGAATATTTTACCCTGTTCCTTTAAAATAATAAAACAAATTGAACACTTGGGCTGTGTACTAAACATAAAGTTTATTGATTAGAAATTATTTCTATATTATCGTAGTTTCTATAAATCTTTGGAGTTATTAAAATGGTAAATATTTTTTAGGCAAGACAGATATTGCAGCTGTTCAAAGAATGAGATTATATCGCCAGCGAAAAAGTAAAAAAATACAAGCAGTCAATAAATGTACGTTAATTTTAATTACATGAAGTTCTTCAAACACAATTACATAATCAGTGAAGTTTCGAAAACAATATTTGTTTAGGCGTTGTTTAACATAATCCATCGTGTGAACAAATATTAAAAAATTCATTAATCAGCAATTACTTCATTTCTCTAATGAAGGTTCATTTCTAAATGCTAATTACAATGACAAAGCGATCATGTCATATTTGAAGTATTGCTTTATTTACATTATTGTTTCTGAATAATATACATACTTTTAATACAAATATATAATTTGTAATTTATCATTATATTAATGTGTATAATGGTTGACACTAATAAATGTATGCAACACGAGTGTTACCATATTACTAATAAACATTATTCACAATTGTTATATAATGTATTTATTTTTACTTAA